AGACTGGAGTTGTTTCATAAATACGCGACTAACGCCATGTGCCACGCTGGTATTCCTGTGTTGGAAGTGTATTCAATGACCGCTTCGTACCCTAATGTAACACTAGATCATGTACATTACAGTGCAAATGCGCAGAGGGCAGCTGAGGATCAACTATTAGCATTTATTATGGAGGAAATGAAGAAAACTTCCAGTTGAAGAGATCTCGAGTTGACTGACGGGGAGTCTTCACATGGGTTATAGCAACACGTTTTCATCCGCAATGGGGTTTTGCAACACGAAAAGAAAAACATTGATTAATGACTATTTACGACCCTTCGTGAGCGCAATTTACAGAAATTTTATTTATTTTTTTTACCTTCGCATATTAATCCAAGATGTTTAACGATTGAAATATTGAAAATTAATATCCAACACTCCTTCGATCGCAATAAGATTTTAGCGCGTATGGTATTGCTCCCGAAGAAGCATAGAACACACTACTCTAGGCCGAAGCGGTGCTCGCAAAAGGTACTCCAAACACGACTTCTTTATACCTTTCCACTTAAAATGTATCAGGATTTCAAGTATTCAAATTCTCTACTCTTCCCTTTCGATCGGTGTCGTCGAGTTGCTTCGGGTCTCTTGATATCAGACGTCCAGGCGTTTTTACAGAAACCTTCCTCGATCGTTATCATCTTGGTATTTGTAAATCGAACGCTAAGACGCATAAAATCATCTCGATTAATCGGTTTGGTATTACATGCTTTTACTTTTCTTCAAGGAACATCCCAGCCATAGCGCTCTTTGCTGCGACATTTCTGTCGAACTTAGTCCTTTCGCGGTCACATCAATGTTTTGGTTGCGGTCTGGACCAATCACATTGCAGGAAATTACATATCCAGATCTGGTTGTGGCCAATCCAAAATCCAAAAACCTACGGTTGTTGGGAATACAAAGTTCTATTATCGTGCAAAGTCTCAGCTCAAACGGTTAAAATTGAAAACTAGTTTGAAAGAGATCACTTTTTGATGACAGCTGACCCGCCGTGGTCCCCAACTGGCCTACTCAAACTTGGTGGCCTTATCTAATGAAAATGCTTATTGATTTTCCCCTACTTCTCCCCTGGATGGACAACACACTGTACCTTCCAGCCCAACCCGGCAACCCTGTAGGTACGCAGAAACAGTACCACACACCTATCACGAGAAATGGCGAGCATTCGGCAGTTCAAGGAATGCCAGTCCCCTTTCAGCATCTTTAGAGGATGGGCTGGAGTTTCTTCATGACCAGTTTGCAAGTTGTTTGTCGTACAGTGCACTTAATACAGCCAGGTGTGCTGTGTCAATTTCTAAACTAGTAGTTTCCACTGGCTGATGAAGTGCTGCAAGTATAGAGCGTGACAGTCAAGTACAAAGCTGCCTTCATAAACACATCCATGAAACATACGTAACGTCAGACGAGTAGTTGAAGTTGCTTCTAGTAGGTTAAATCATTGATATCTCAAGTATTTATAAAAAGCAACGCGACTTCACATCTTAACAACTGCGAAAATCTATCAGTTAAATACATCTAACAAAGTTAATCTGCAATATCGAATCTATTTAGGGACGGTTCATGATTTATGGTTTGGGGTGGCTATGGGGATTTGGAGGGGGGCCATTAATTTTTATCCAAAACATTTAGTGGGGACCATCAAAATTCAATGGTACTCTGTATAGGGGGGAGCACTTATAACTTAATTTTATAATCGGTCCGGTTCTGAAAGAAGTATTTCACGAATAAACTTTCGGTCAACTTAAAGAAGATATCGGTAATATAGGTTGTGTACCATTTATAAAAAAATTCCGGAAATTTCGATTGGGAATTTTCGTTCGGTTTAAGAGCGGTACGTGTGGTCTACCATTTGCCTAAAATTTCTGGATTATTCCGCCGCGCTAGACTGGATTCTAGTATCAACATGATCTGACCATGTTGTGATAGGAAGTCGTACGTCTGAATCTTCCAGCTGTCCAATTTTGACGACCCGTCTGTGCTTTCCGAGGAAACAGACGGAGCAGGAGAAGGAATATTTCCAGAATTGGAGAGGAATACTCAGCAGCATGAATCTGGTACAATCCCTCATTTGCTGTGAGCCCGCCATATTTGTTGTTGTTGCAGGGGCGGATCCAGGATTTTATTTAGGAGGGGGTGCACTCGTCTCTTGCTCTACTTCAACACCAATAAACCACAATTCTTTTTTTTTGCAGAATACCAGCTGTATTAGAAAACCGCAGGTCATCTTGGGGGGGGGGGTGCGCACCCCCTGCACCCTCCCCCTAGATCCGCCCCTGTGTTGTTGAAGGGATTGCGCTCGGCCAAAAGCCAAGAGGCCTGAAACTAGTACGAAATTCAAGAAACTTGTAAATGGTAAAAGAATTTCCATCTGGAACGTTCCAACTGGGAAAACGGGACTACCTTTTCAGAATTTCCGTTTGTCTGGGGGAATTTTCCAGTAGGACGAACCAAAAAAACGTTTACCATTAACATCCCAACAGGAATTTCCAGGAAATTGTGGTAAATGGTAAAGAAACATAAACTCCAATGAAATATCAGGTGATCTCAAGCGCGAAAAAGTGATATTTTCACATCTGAAAATAACATGTTACCATGGATACACCATGCAAACGCGCGACGTGTTTGGTCCGAATTGTTTGTGATAACGCTCACACTTGAATAAAGAGTTAAATTTGGTATTTCATTGAAGTTAATAAAAAGAACATTGATGTCCGCGCGTTCATGTAATATCCTCCATTTATTTGTTACATAAAATTAAGAATTAAACGAGACTTACCTGTAAGTTGAAGTTTGATTGGAATTCTTTGAGTCATTGGTCAGGAGCCGAGGAAGTCATGTGAGATAGAGCGCGGGAACCTGAGCAGTCAGTCTTTAAATCTTGTGAGGGGACACATTCTCACAACTAGACCACCCAACTGCATCCATGATGGTATTAATGGCTGTGTTAGCTGATTTGCAGCAGAGGTGGCGGCGAAAGGAGTTATCAGATTTCCTCATACCACAGACAGAATTTTTTACCTTCACTTGCATTCATAGGCTTTCTACACGAAATAGGATTCCTCCGCCTTTAGTTTTCCACCGCCCGTTTTCGACAGTCGAGTGAGTTGAAAAATCTATTTATTTCATGTTTTGTCCATAGATACCTTTTAGGTAGATAAGAAACGTGATGTGAATTTTTTCCGCCAAAGGCCTTTTTAATATTTGAAAGAAAAATTAGAACATCGATGTTGTCGTCGTTTCGCTGTTCTTGAAGATTCATCTGGTACTCAGTATCTCAGTATTTTCTAACATTTCAAGTTTATACATACCCTGGGTGCCAGAGGCTTACACCATTCACGCGTCGAAATCGGACTCGCCTCTTTTCACTTCTACATTACGAGCATTACAGTATGATTAACAGAATCATTCGACTAGCGTGAATTGTCTCCGGGTCTTCGGTTTCTATATCTCAATTCTTCTCTTCGTGTCAAATGCTAGGTCAAAACTGAATTTAAAACATCGCGCTCGAATGCAAAAGTGCCCTTCAAGGAATTTAGGGGACGTGTCACTGGACGTGTTGCTATCGGCAACGGATTTAATTTATAACAATCGGTTTTCGGCGTCGGAGTCTCAAAATGGCCTAATTTTTAACATGAAATTTGCTAACATCAACTTTCCTCGCGTTCGCAAACAACGCCGCACGGAGAAATTTGGACATTTCCCATCAACAGAACTACTCTTTTTCTTTCAGTAGAAGATACTTTCAGGGAAATGGTGAGACTTGTCGAACTGAAAAAATTCAAAAACGAGGAATAGGTCTTCACGATAACGAAAACATAATTTTATTACTCAGTTTCGACGGCAAAATTTAACATGTGTTATAATTCCAAATTGTCTTCATCCTAGTTAAATCACACATTTAGACATTCATCTAAAAGATACCCGGGAATTGGCTTGGCTTTTTGAAGGAAATGCCTGTAAGACGGTATCGAAGTTCAGGAAATTTCGTGGTAGGCCGGAGGTAATTGTGTAAACACTTCCAACTTTGAAACGCACAAAAGTAGAAATTTGAACCCTAACTGCTACTTCTTTCTATTTCTTGTAGGTTTTCCCACTCCATAATTGCTTTTCCAATCAAGGGGTGAGGAATAAAAGTCAGACTGGTTTAATTTTAGCAATCCGCCACCGACCACTCCGGCTGGCGACTCTGCGTGACGATCTGTTCCGAGAGTGCCGTGACGTAACGTACGTTAGAAGAGAGTCGGTGAATTTAAAATGTCAATCACGGAGTCACGGTAGTAACGTAGTTATCGGTTTATACATTTCGATGGCGATGTTTTGATGAAGAAAAACTCATGCCAATCGCGCTAGAGTTCTGGTACTCACTCGTTATGGCGATAAAGAGTGTTAATTCACAAAGGATGAGGAAACAAGAAGATATTTCGCTTTGTTACATAACGAAACAAGGAAACTTCATGGAGCCGTTAAGGTGGCTCCGTCATAATGCTGGAGCATTTAGGGAGCATTCATTTTTTAGAAGTGGGGGTGGGCCGGAGGAATCCCTATGAGCATGAATGTAAAATCTCCCAGCCCTCCCTTTATATTTTTTTTTAAAAAATGTGACCCTCCCCTGGAAGCAGTAAAATTTATAGTGACCCACCCCTTCCTCCTGACAAACATGGTTTGTGGCTGGATTGTGCAACGATCCCGTGGTCCTTCACACAGACGCACCTGTTAGCTAGAATAACGCAACCGCCAATTGCCTACTTTTCTGCCATAACGGTTTACCCCGGCCCCTTCAGGCAACTCATCTTCCTCTTCACTTTCGCTGTCCTTTGAATCATTTTCGTCTGAGTTGCTTGCATCCCCAAATTCCAGTAGTAGTTCATCTTCACTTTCTGAGTCCTCGCTGACACTGACATCATCATCTTCTGACTGGGTGTCCGAGTCTTCCGTTGCTAGTGCAGTTTCAGCAGCACTCAATGTCAAGATCCTTTCACATAAACCTTTGCTGATGTGAGCTGACAGAAGGTTAAGTTTTCTGATTTGGACATTTTTCTCCTTGATAAGTTGTAGCGAAAAATATATTTATTGAGCTCACCAACCTTCAGCTTTTTTAGGTTTCCCGATTTGTAGAGTTCCTCCCAGTTATAGTCACCGTAACCTTTTGTTTCTTCATCTTTCTTTGCCTGACGCTTTTCGTCTTGGCGCATATTTTTTCTCACTTGAATATTCGTAAGGTGCTCAAGATATTCTTCCACCAGATCAGGGCTGACAATGTATTTTTTAGAAAATGCTTCAATTTTGTCATTATCGCCACATTTAATGTTCCCTTCGACGAAAAGCTTGCGTAACTGCGCACGGGGTTGGAAATCATCTGGTGCTCTGTTATGAACAGGGATATTACCTACTGAGAGGTAGTGATAGGAAGGGAGTTGTGTGACATCTGGGTAAGGACGTGGTGTGCGCTTCAGTGAGTCGGGACCTATCCACCCATTTTCCTTACATGTCTCACACAGTTCTCCCTTTCTTGAACAATCTCCTTTTAGAAATTCAAAATAGAGCTCTCCCCTTTCGTAATGTGACTCAAAAAAGGATTCAACTCTATTAAAATAGGCATGTCCAGGTATTACATGTCGCTTTGACTTTGAAGTGTTGTTATACTTAGATAGATATTCCTTATTGTAAAAAAATTCTTCACCAGGCTTTTCTGAAACAATTGCACCAAGAAAACCGTTTGGTGCAGGCTCACCATCTATCCTCAATAGCACTTCTTCTGCAACTCGCCATGCATTTTTCTTCATTCGGTCATTCTCTAAATCTTCTAGCTCTTTTGCTGACATTCTCTTTAAATCCTCCTCCTCAAGGCCATGGTATTGTTCATAGTACTCCCAATTTAGGCTTCCTCCATCGACGAATGCATCACCTATGCAGGCATTGCTTCGTTCTGCTTCATTCTGACCGGAATCATTAGTTGCACGGTGGAGTCTAGCACGTCGGTCAGAATTGTGAAGCAGGGCAATCTCAGCATCTCTGAACCTGACTTCAAAATTGCTCACCCCTACACCTGGACCTCCATCTGTGAGCTCCAAAATGCAGGGTTTAAGTGGTGCTAAGTTAAATTCTGATATCTTCTTCAATATGATATTGTCATTTATCAATCCTTCAAAGACTTGCCACAACCTTTCTCCAGAATTTGCTTCTAGCTGAGTAATAGCATTTTCGAGAGACTCTGTAAATGTTGACATGCAGCCAATGAGCTCATTGGCCTTGGCGATTTCTGCTCGGTCTACATCATTTTTCATCTCTGTTTCCCATATGTCTCTTGCTTTTGATAAAGCTTTTGATAAATGCTCAATTCGTTTCTTCTCATACTGCTTGAAAGGGCAGTTTACCTTATCTGTTACACAGCTGACATCCTCTTCCATCGTTGTCTGAATGAAATAAGAAACAGTGTCTTTTACTTTGGCACACAGACTACAGAAAGAAAGTGAGTATTTCTCAAAACTATCCAAGCCAACCTCATATAACTGTGGGTTTTCATGTCTTAACCTCATATAATCAGAAGCCCAGGTGGTACCATCACTAGGAACATAAAACTTGGGGCGAACGACTACAAAAGTCTGATCAGTCTTAGTAAACAGCTGTTCCTCATCTCTGACAAATTCTCCCTCCTTCTCAAGGAAACGATGTGTAGCAGGAGTGATATACACTTTAGGATTAGCAAAATCATGCTGCGGGAGTTTTCTAGCTCTTTCTTCGTCTGTTGGCTGAAAGATTACTTGATTTCTTGCACCAGTCATTCCCACATCTGTTCCTGGCCTAATGTAGGCTTTGTCGTCTTTACTGATTATTAAGTTAAACTGCCAAGAGTCTTTGTTTTGCATGCCAAACATTGAATACTTTTCGTTTTTCACATGACTTCTTTGATGATGTGTGCAAAGGTTAGATTTATCTTCTGTTTTGGGGGACTTTTTTTGCACAAAACAGACCCTTGGCAATGTGTTTTTTGGACTGAAGGCTTCTACTATTTTTGGGTCTTGACCTATTATATATTGTAGTATTGCTGCGAATTAGCTTCTTTCCAAGCCTCGCTCTAAAGTAATTAACTGTGCCTCTGAAATCCTTTGCTTTTACTCTGTGATTCAGATAAAGCACACTGTCGTGGCGCCTGCCATGTGATGTAGCCTTGTCCTCAATGCATTTTACCACAAATTCTTCATCATCACTATCCACTTTACTGTGAGCTCCTTGACCCAGTTTTCGACGTTTTATTCGCGTTTCTTCCAGCAGATTATCAGCAATTTGCTTTACCCCTTGTTTGAATTGCTTGTTGCCATACTTTGTCTCTCTACTTTTTACTGCGTCTACCTGTTTCAAGCGTTCTTCGGTAAGAGTTAGCTTTTCTTGGAGGTCATCTAACCTCTTCTTGGGCCAGCTTCCCGTGTTCTTGGTAATCAATTCCTTGATGCTATCTATATCTTTGGTCAACTTACCCTTACGTTCGCGCAAGCGTAGGTTCAGCATGTCAGCTGCAGCAAGTTGGGGATTTTCGCATTCATCAATGACATAATTTACATGATCTACTGCTTTAACAGCAGTATCTGGCTTCATTCCAAGTTCACAAAGGTCGGTACGTGATCTATTAGCACTGAGAAGTGCTCTCGCACACTCACGGTCATATTCTGTGTCCATTGATTGTAATACCTTGTTGATAGACTCTTTACACAAATCAAAGCGCTTGCTAGAATCATCTTGTTCAGCAGAAACATGTGAATTTTCTACATAACGCAGAAACTGTGCAATATCTAAGCCATTTCCAGATAAGAGAACAAGCCTTTGTCCATCAGAAGGGTTAGTGAAAATAAGAACAGGTAAACCATGTTCATCATTTAACAATTCGTCTCGAAAATTTTCCTTGTCTGGAAGCCCTTCTTGATAGCCAAAGTATAATTCGTATGCATGCTCGAAAGTCATGAAACCTCTTTGCGACGGTAGCAGTAAGGTCTCCAATACGCATATCAGTCCTATCAGCTTCGAACGCTTTTTATCATATTTTAAATCGCATGCTTCTACGAGAGCCACCAATCGAGCTTGGCAGTTTTCCACAGAACATACTTGTTTCGAAATGCGTAAAGCCGAAAGGCCACCCGATGTTTCACTCCGTAAAAAAGATCTTTTTTCATTCCATGTTTGCTTCGTTGTTACTATTTCTACAACATCACCATTCTTCGTCTCAAAACTGCACTGCAAAATTTCAGAAGGTTCTGCAGTGTCCATGGCCGCCATTCTGAGACTCGTCACTTGGCCGAGAGGTACTTGGTTCCAGTATGTAACCAAGCCTTGCAAAACAAAATGGGGGAGGATTCCTTACAGCGAGTTCGTAATTGGTTTTCACAAAGTAAGCTCGGAGAGTATGCAGATCTCTTTATTTCCAATGGGTTTGATTCGCTGGAACTGATTTTTGAATGTGTGGATAAACAACTCCTGGAGGAACAATTCACTGAAGGAATATGTTTACCAGGCAAACGGCAGCAGCTGCTCTTAGCAATTCGACAGCAAAAAGAAAGTAAACCACCTCGCCAAACAGAGATGAGCATGTACGACTGGTTTCAAGAAAATGACATTTCAAGTTATTTTAATGCATTTATCAACAAGGGTTATGATGATCTAGAAGTAGTTATTGAAACAATCACTGAAGATGTGCTCTCAGTAGAATTTTCAACAGAGATTCCCCTACTTGGGCAGAGGAAGAAAGTTGCATTAGCAGTTCGAAAGGCAAAGGAAAAGCAGGGGGAAAGTAATAACACTGCAGTCGGGGATAAACCCAAAGCTAGCCAAAGTTTTTTTATCTTGGACCGACAAAGCCCTTGGAGAGCCATGGAAAAAGAAATCACTGGGCTCTATTCCCTCTCCAAAAGGTGAAAGATCAATAGCATATATGGAACTTCTACCCAAGTTTTATCAGGCAGTCTGGCCTTATTGCAATTCAGATAGCTATTTCAGAAACCAGTTCATGACAGAGAGAAGCCGACAATACGAAACCAACATAAAGGTGGGGACACTGCAACAGAAACTGGATTTCAAAAAAGGAGACAATCCAGCTGCATGTGGAAAGTATTTTACCACTTCATATATTCCAAGAGCCAGTGATGTAGCTGTTTTGTCTAAACATTTGGATCAGCTCACTAGCTTGAAAACTGAAGTAAAGAAGCTCAAAAACGAAGTGGTAGCCATGAATCAAGGCCTTTTTGATAAGAGTGGTAGGTGCCTTTCTCCTGGGAAATCTATTCACTATGACTTTAATTCTGCTACAGTGAACAAGCTTAATGAGCTAGGTCAAAACGCTTCAGCATTTATGGCTCAGGTTGATGAAAAGCTAAAGGAGTTACTGAG